ACAATCTCGGCTCACTGCAACCTCTGCCTCCTGGATTCAGGTGATTCCCCTGCCTCTGCCTCCCAAGTAGCTGGGACTACAGGTGAGCGCCACCATGCCCAGCTAATTTTTTGTATTTTAGTAGAGACAGGGTTTTACCATGTTGGCCAGGATGGTCTCTTATCTCCTGACCTTGTGATCTGCCCGCCTCAGCCTCCCAAAGTGCTGGGATCACAGGCGTGAGCCACCGTGCCCAGCCATAATTCACATTTTAAAATAAAAGTGCTTAGAAATCAAAAGCACTGGGTAAAGAAATAATAGTATTTAAGTACTTCTTCACTTTATAATCCAGAAAATAAAACACCATATTTATTCAAAAAAAAAAAAAAAGAAATTCGCATCTCTTTTGTTTCCTGAATTAGTTTTCTTTCTTTTCTGGGCTACTTTTTCTGTGTATGTGCTTTTTTAACCTTTATTTTTCTTTTATGATTATCGTTTTCCTCATATGATTTGTCCATTCATATTTAAGGACAAAGTAGTTAATATAATTTTCCTCTGTAGAAATATAAGTAGGTCTGTCTTTCAACAGGTGTCTTTCTTGAGTGCCAAATCTGCCTCAGGGTTCTGTGCATTTAGGGTGGGTGTGCTGACTGACAGGCATTATTACAGAGTAAACTGGTGAGACCTCCCTAGATCCCCAACTGCCAAAATAAAGAGAAATAAGGACAGCCTGGATCTGCGGCTGTCACATTAGAAGCCTTAGCATGCTTTATTGTCTTGTTAGCATGTTCATGCTTGTGAATAAATGCCAGCTTGCACTTTACAGTTGTGAACCAAGAAAGGAGTCAACTAGTGATTGTTGTATATACCAACCTTCAATGAATCCCCATTTCCAGTATCTCTCATCAGGTCAACCAACCCTGAGTTTACAATTGCTCTGGGCCTTGATGAGCATAGGCACTCACTTCTCCACTGCAGCCCACACACAGCTCCTCATTCTAGGTTGTGGTTTCCTTAGCCTACTTCTGGTCACTTACGTTTTTTCTGTTTTTTTTTTTTTTGGTCCATATAAATCCAGTTACTATTGAACTATTTATTTACAATTTTAAGATCACAGAATCTTTTTTGAACTTTTCTTTTAGGTTTGGGAGTAAATGTGAAGGCTTATTACATAGGTAAATTCATGTCAAGGGGCTTTGCTGTACAGATTATTTCACCACAGGTACGGTATCAAGCCCAGTATCCAATAGTTATCTTTTCTTCTCCTCTCCCTCCTCTCACCCTCCACCCTTGAGTAGACTGCAGTGTCTGTTGTTTCCTTGTTTGTGTTCATAAGTTCTCACCATTCAGCTTCCACTTACGAATGAGAACATGCGGTGTTTGGTTTTCTGTTCCTGCATTAGTTTGCTAAGGATAATGGCCTCCAGCTCCATCCATAGCCCCGCAAAGGACATATGGTCACGTTCTATCTTCAAGAAATATGTTGAGATTTCTTATACACCGATTTTCTCTACCATTCCATTGGCTTCCATGGGTTTATTCCCTTTTAATTTCTATACTTTAACTTCAGAAGGGTTTGGGAAAGAATGGGAGGATAATGTGTCTACTTAGTTTGTCCCTTTTACTAGAATACTTCACAAGTCCTCTTCTTAGATAAGATTTCTCCTTAGATTTAAGGGAAGTATATAAATGTCCATTAACTCATAATTATGGTTTTGTTGTTGTCCGTTTCTAATTTTCTTAGTATAAACTTAATTTACATTCCTGTCAAAGCTTTTATTAAAGCTCTGATAAAACTCAGAATTTCATCAGTCAGCATAGGGTCCCCACAGGAAAAAGAATTCACTGTATAAAGCTTTCATGAAAAGATTAGGTATAGAGTTGTGGGTAGGATGAAAGGGGAAAACAAGGCAATAATGAGGCACCCAGAGACTATTGATAGGAGGATACTGTTACAGTCCTGAGGGCCAAAGGAACAAAAGGAGAGCCTAGTAAGCACTAGAACCATGGACACAGGGCTGTCCAGCAGAAGCTTTATTATAGAGAGATACAGTTACTGTGCTGAAGCAGAGAGCAGGGAAGAAATGCCAGCTTCTCTCTCCTCTGCCCTCCCATTTACTGGCAATGCTTCCCATTGCCCAGATCCAACCAGAAGTTAGTCATCAAGAGCGCCCCAAAGATGAGTTTGTAGGGTCAGAGCAAGGCCAAGAATGGACTTAGAGAGGGAGGATGGGCAGCAGATAGAGAACCGGTAATAAAACTTAATGTTTTATTACAATGTAGTTCAAATATTGAAGATCTGAGATTTCACAAAACATAGGTAGGAATATTTCATGTTGGATATTTATTAGGTATTAATTAAACACCAAAAACTATTAAGAATCTTCGCTCTCATGAGTATTTTTTTGAGGGGAACAAAACCATGTAGTAGATGAGCCTAAGGATAATCAAAACCATAATGTAAATTAGACAAGCCCAAAAGCCCTGAACATAAAATAATATCAGAAGCAAACTTCACATTTTAAGCATGGAAAATTGTTACTATAATTAAAAATCTATGCCCTGTGGTGTTTTTGGTCAGAGCAGTGGTTATCGTTGGGTGGCAGTGACTGGGATGGAGCAAGAGGGGCTTTGCAGGTGCCAGTAGTACTGTTTCTGGATCTGTGTGCTAGTTATATGGATATGCCTACATTGTGAAAATTCATCGACTAGTGCACATGTGATTTGGGTGTTTTGTGTGAGTATATTTAAGCAAAAATCTTAAAAAAAAAAATCAGGCAGCCATGAATAGAACTTAAAAAAACCTCAACTATTTCCATGTATTTTATGCCTTTCTTTAGGTATCCATTCTAAGAGCTAACAAGGATTTACTGTAACACCTAAAACAATGATGCACATTCGACAGGAAGGAAAAGCTTATCTTAACTTCAAAGAATTTGTGATCTGCTTAGAAAAACCAAATATTATGGCCGGGTACAGTGGCTCACGCCAGTAAACCCAACACTTTGGGAGACCAAGGTGGGTAGATCATGAAGTCAAGAGATCCAGATCATCCTGGCTAACATGGTGAAACCCCGTCTCTACTAAAAATACAAAAATTAGCTGGGCTTCGTGGTCTAAGCCTGTGGTCCCAGCTACTTGGGAGGCTGAGGCAGGGGAATTGCTTGAACCCGGAAGGCGGAGGTTGCAGTGAGCCAAGATCGCGTCACTGCACTCCAGCCTGGCAACAGAGTGAGACTCCAACTCAAAAAAAAAAAAAAAGAAAGAAAGAAAAACCAAATATTTAGATATGAAAATAAGAATATTAAACAAGTAATATCTCAGGCTCTGAAGAACTGTATAGTAAAAACAGGTCCAATACTGATATGTAACTGATTCCCATGGGAAGGCCTAGATAGAAACACTCTCCAAGTAGGCTCTTTCTGTTGGACATATCTTCTCGCTAAAGCTGTAACAAAGGTCAACTAGACCAAATGTAGTGGACAAGCCTACAATGCACACAGTACCATAAAAGCCATTAAGATTCTGAAGTCACTTTTCTTCTCTGCCCTGAAGTGGTGAATAGGGAGCTCACCCCTACTTGGAAGGAAAGCAGACAATACAAGGAAGGAGAATTGAAGGCAGAGACAGAGAAGCACAAAGGAACATGGCAGGAAGAGACTTCTTCAGAGTAGAAGATCTCTTAGCCTCAGGAAAAAGAAAGAGAAGTCTGTGAGTAACAGGAGCAAAGGGATCCTGGTGCCTGGCAACACCCCTAGAAAGGCAGCTAAAACCTCAAAAGAAAACAGCTGTATGTGCATCCAGGCAGATGGGCCATGGGCATCTTCACCAAAGGTTCTAGGGCTTGACACATGGCACAGAAGCAGCAAAGACCTCTGGATCTGAAGGGAATCTTCTAGCCAGGGATGGCAGATGTCTCAGCAGTAACTCCCAACCCTAATACTTTGGTACCATGTACGACCTCAGAACTGTGGCATAGCTCTAGGCTGAGAAACCTCATGAAGTTCTAGTTTAAAAATAACCATCAACTTGGTAAATGAGGGCTAAAGTCAGAAATTCAAATCCAGAAACTTATACTTCTGATAGATCTGAGGCTTATTCATTCAGATCTGAGACTTACCCTTTTTTACATGTATAATATATGGGTACACAACACACAGTTTAAATTTCACATATAGAAAAGGAAAAATGAGAAGTACAGTACCATTGTTTAATTTATCTGGTTCTATCACTGAAAGCTGCTCCCTATAAGCGAGTTTTCTAGACAAGTAATACAGAGTCTATGCTACTAAAATAAATTACTAATCTCAGTTGAAATCTGGTAATGGGATTGGGACTACTGCCGTTATCCTAAATTACTCCCAGACTAGAGTACATTTAGAGCTTTTGTGTCTTTTTTTTTTTTCCCCCCCTTAGTGTTTCTTACTGTCCTGACTACTTTTGCAGTCTGGTAGCAAATGTTTTTGCAGATCTCTGTACATTTGATTCTAGTTATCCTCCTTCCCTTTTCCTACTCTAATTTTCTGTTTCAAACATATCTTGGGTTGAAGAATCAGAAAACCAAGCATTTAAAAACTGTACTTAAATAAAGAGTCAACAGGCAGTGAGTGAAGACCCCAGCATTCATAAGACTGATTCTGGTAACATTATGGCCTTTTCTTTCTTTCCACCAGGTTATTAGCTATGTCCTATCCTAACAGAGAAGTTATCTTCTTGCATTTAACATTTCGGAAGGTGCTTTAGTGATTGCTGTGGGTGGGCAAGGGGTAGGCTGTGTAGCCCCTCTCCACTGCTTCAGTGGGAGTAGCCCTGTTTTATCTATCTTCTACTACTATGCGTTCTGTTTTAGATTTCATTTAATGAGAGGATCTTACTACTAAAACAAGTTTGAAAACCACTCTTCTAGAAATCTGATCTCTTAATTTATGTAGCAAAATTGACACGTGATAGTTACAAATAAAAAAAAAAAACTGCTGAAACTCCAAAATTAGAATCCATTTTCAAAAGGAAATGAAAATTACCTGAAGTAGAGGGATGAAATCCTCCTGTTCTAGAGAGCTGCAGTTGGGCTTTGCTAGAAGACAGATGAATTTAGAGGCATCATCATGATGGTTATTCAGCAACCTATAAAAGAAACAATGGTTAGGAAGATTAACTCCTCTGAACAAACAATGATAACAACATCAATAGTCGGTAATTTCAGTTTGATCTGAAGGCCACTTAGATCAAGAATCAAGTAAGGAAATTATACAATCAAAGGATGTTTTAGAATAATGAACTGTCTATGACATAAGGTTGGTTGAATACTGAAGTCTATTAGACCATCTTCCCTTCCAGTGGTCTGAGCATGAGGTAATAAGGCTTGATGGTACAATGGAAATAGAAAGGAAGGAACAGCTGTCTGAAATATTTTCAGGAAACATTCCTCAGGACTCCAGTAACCTCATCTGGCATTCCAAGCACTCAATGGTTCAATCTAGAAACTTGGGAGTCATCATGAATTCTTCTCTTCCTTTTACCACCACGTCTGTCAGCTACCATGTTGTTTCATTTGTACCAAATTTGCCCCTTTCTGTCTCCCACTACTCAGGCTCTTGTTTCTTATTTCTGAATAACACATTTGATCATGTCACTGTCCAAGTTAAAATTCTTCTGCGAAGTAGGCTAAAGTCCCAGCTTTTTTTTTTTTTCCTGAGATGGAGTTTTGCTTTTGTTGCCCAGGCTGGAGTGCTGTGGCACCATCTCGGCTCACTGCAACCTCTGCCTCCCAGGTTCAAGCGATTCTCCTATCTCAGACTCCAGAGTAGCTGGCATCATAGGTGTGTGCCACCACGTCCAGCTAAGTTTTGTATTTTTAGTAGAGATGGGGTTTCACCATGTTGGCCAGGATGTTCTCGATCTCCTGACCTTGTGATCACCTGCCTTGGCCTCCCCAAGTGCTGGGATTACAGGTGTGAGCCACCGCACCTGGCCTAAAGTCCTAGCTTCTTGACTTGACATAGGAAGGCCTTCAGAATCTGATCCTACTTGCTCATGTCTCCTTCTCTTACCATTCCTGTACTTGTGGTTGCACAAATGTTCCATACCCTCTCACACCAGGCATTTGTATATGCTACCGTCCTTACCACAAAACCCTTTCCCCTTACTTCACTTTCCAGGAAATCTCACTTGCCGCCTGTGTCCTTCCATGTGCTTATTATTTCTGTCATGGCTGTTCCACAGTAGCATCATCTTATTGGAATAACTTTTTTCCACTTTTATTATAGGTCCAGGGGTACATATAAGGGTTTGTTTCGAAGGTTTACTGAATAATGTTGAGGTCTGGATAATGAATGAATCCATCTCTCAGGTAGTGAGCATAGTACCAATAGGTAGGTTTTCAGCCCTTGCTCCCTCCGTCCCTACCCTTTCTCATATCCCCCAGTGTCTATTGTTCTCATCTTTATGTCCATGTGTACTTGATGTTTAGCTCCCACTTGTGAGAACATGTGGTATTTGGTTTTCTATTTCTGCATGGTCTCCAACTGTATTCATGTTGCTGCAGAGAACATAATTTCATTCTTTTTTATGCCTGCATAGTAGTCCATGGTGTACCTGTACCACATTTTCTTTATCCAGTCCACCATTAATGGGCATGTAGGTTGATTCCATGTCTTTGCAATTGTGAACAGTGCTTGAATAAACATATGGGTACATAAATCCTTTTGGTAGAATGATTTATTTTTCTTTGGGTATATACCCAGTAATGGAACTATTGGATTGAATGGTAAACTCTTAGTTCTTTGAGAAATCTCCAAACTGCTCCATGGAGTTCAGCCATGTCCACTTCTCTAGTGAGACTGATGAAATTTCTGTGGACTATATCCTTGTATGTTTTCCAAGTCGCGTACTCTCACTTCTTCTCTCTCAGGAATGCCAATGAGCTATAGATTTAGTCTCTTTACATAATCCCATATTTCTGAGAGGTTTTATTCATTTTTAAAATTCTTTGATTCAAAGGAGGAGTCTCTGAGCTCTGAGATTCGTTCCTCAGATTGGTCTGTTCTGTTATTAATGTTTCTAGTTGTATTATGGAATTCTCATAATAAATTTTTCAATTCCAAAAGTTCAGTTTGGTTCTTTCTTAAAATGGCTGTGTCATCTTTCAACTCTTGGATCATTTAACTGTTTTCCTTGGATTTAGTTTCAACTTTTGGCCTGTATTTCATTGAGCATTCTTACCATTCAGATTCTGAATTCTGTCTGTCATTTCAGCCACTTCAATTTGGTTAATAACCATTGCTGGGGAGCTAGTGAGATCATCTGGAGGCAAAAAGACATTCTGGTTTTTAGAATTCTCAGAGTTCTTGTGCTGGTTCTTTCTCATTTGTCAAGGCAGGTATTCCTTTTTCTTTTGATGTTGCTGTCCTTTGTCCTTTGGTTAGAGTTTGTTTTTACTTTCTTTATTTCCCTTGAGGGTTTGACTGTGGTATAAGCTGAGTATAGCCAATTAGCTTCATTTCTGGATGCTTTCAGAGGGCCATGTATGGGATCTTTGCTGTCTTAAAAAAAAATTTTTTTTTTTAGACAAGAGTTGCACTCTTGTTGCCTAGGCTGGAGTGCAATGGCGTGACCTCGGCTCACTGCAACCTCCGCTTCCCGGGTTCAAATGATTCTCCTGCCTCAGCCTTTGGAGTAGCTGGGATTACAGGCACATGCCACCATGCCTGGCTAACTTTTTGTATTATTATTATTTTTTAATGAGAATGACTTTATTTGAAACTGCTGTGAACTGTGGTGGGAAGAGGGCAAACGCAGAGGAAGAGAGGAAGCCTTGGCTGAAGAGGATTCGGAGGGAACCAGCTTGGCTGCAGCTCAGGAGCTCCAGAGGTAGCAGCTGTACATCTTGTAGGAATTTTTTGTTTTTAGTAAAGACGGGGTTTCACCATGTTGACCAGGCTGGTCTTGAACTCCTGACCTAAGGTGATCCATCTGCCTTGGCATCCCAAAGTGCTGGGATTACAGGTATGAGTCACCGTGCCTGGCCTATATGGAATCTTTGTGGCTAGAATCCTGTACTGAGTTTTCTCAGGCAATTTCAGGCTGGAATTTTTTGGTGGTGTAATTCAAGCTGTAGCCCAGTAGATGGCGTTTAAGAGTAAGGACTGCCAGATAAGACTGCAGGTTTTGGGTATGTCTGTGGGTGGTCTGCAGATTCAGGAGGTCAAAGGTGAGGGATCCCTGGGCAGGACAATGCTGCCTTGGCTGTGCAACTGGTGTGGTACCCACAGCCTAGGTTTTTTTTTTGCCTAGCAGATGGCAGTGAGAACTTCCCAGCTTGCGCTTCCTTGAGAGGGTCTCCTGGTGACTGCCCAGAATTTGGCCCAACCAGCTAGTTTGTCAGAAGACTTCTGCACCCAGATCACTGGGCTATTAGGTGTTCCAGACTGCCAGGCTCCCTTGGGGAGAGGCTTTGGCCCAGTTTCTGTGCCACCCCACAGACCCGTATCTCACTCTTCCCAGTGCTCTGAGAGTGAGGGCTCTTCCTCCACTTAAGTTCCAAACACAAGTCTCAGCTTGGTACTCCTGGGCTGTGTGCTCTAAACCTGAGGGCCTGGGACTGGACCTATAGTTTTGTTCTCTGGTTCCCTGAGGTCAAACACCAGCTGTGCTGGGTGAGCCAAGGTGCTCCCAGGCCAACTGGCAAAAGTGCTCTGGCAGGGCAGTGGAGGCTGTGCTGTATGCCTGCTCCTATGGGAACAGCCAGACAGGAACACTGGGAGGGTGCTGGAGGACAAGGGGCGGTACATGGATCAGATGTGCCCTGGTCCTATGGAAAAGACAGCCCTAATCTCTCCAGGTATGGCAGTCAACAAAGGTTAGAGCCTCTTAGAGGCCTACAGTTGTGTTTTGTTGCAGCTGCTCCCACGCAAAACCCTGTGGGTTCTGTATAACCTTGAGCTTTGTCTCTGCCAACTCTTCAAGCAGTTTCTCTGCCAACTCAAATGTCTGGTGGCTGTGGGATCTTCTGCAGCGAGAGTGGCCTGCTCTGCAGTTACTTCATTCACCCCTTCCTTAGGAGCCACTCAGAGCCCATGCAGGCTTCTCAGTTTCCTCCCTCTTCAGCCCCAGTGACTGCATCATCTCTCCACTGACTCTCAGTGCTCTCTCTCAAAAGATCTGTTCAAAGTATGCTGGTTTACTCCATGTTTTGGTTTCGATATTTGGTAGGAAAGGGAGGCTCTTCCTGGCTGTGTCTTCTTGGCCATCTTCACATCCTTGTCTTTTTTTGTTTATTCATTTTTTGGAGACAGGGTTTCATTCTGTTGTCAAGGCTGCAATACAGTGTGTCATGATCATAGCTCACTGAAGCCTCAAACTCCTGGGCTCAAGGGATCCTCCCACCTCAGCCTCCTGAGTAGCTAGGATTACAGGTGCAAGCCAGTGCACATGGCTTGGTGTAACTCTTTCAATAGACTGTAAGCTTCTTACAGGGTATAAAACTGTGTCTTATTTTCTTTGTATCCCAACTACCCTGAAGGCCAGACACAATATAGTTAGCATTCAATAAGTGATTAAGGAAGAAAAATAAAATGTTTTTGATCAAACAGATGTATACTTCATTTGTGATTATTAGAGCTACAGTATGATTTTTATACTTATTCTCCTTACTATTCTTCAACATGCTTAAGGTTCTGAAGTTTAATAGGTGCCACTTCTCAGGATTAGAAGGTGGGTAGGATGATCACAATAGAAAAATAGTAAGGTCTTTCAAAAGAACTACTTTTACATTTAAAACAAAGTATAGCTAGCAGTAAGATATAAAAACAGCAGAAACATGACAGATGAAAGCTACTCTGAGAGGACAAAGTCAAATCAGAAATGGTCTTTTGCTATGAAATAGAAAGAAAAGATGAATTACAATTTTCTGCCAATGTTACTGGCTGGTCAACTCTATGGCAGGAGAAAAGATGATAACAGTCATGAAAGCTAAAGAATGAAGGTAAGCACAGCTATTCTAAACCAGTATCTTTCAGAACTTTTAATACAAAACATTGTTTTGTTAATGGACAAATGACACATTGATGTGAAAAGGTAAAAGAAAGTAAAGCATAATAAAACTGAAGCAATATTATTGATTCCATTTGAGATGAGTGCTGCCCAAAGGCTGATGCTCTAGTACCTCAAAAATAAATGCTACGGAGCAATGTCTTTCCCTTAAAAATGTCGTGACTGTAAGAAAAATATACGTCAGAGTACAGGGCAGTGGCACAGGGAAAGGAAGTGGAACAGAACCCTTTGGAGGAGAGATACTGAGGCCTCCAACCCATGAGCAGTCTGACATGAAATTATCCCCCTATAGTCTTATGACTTTTATATTTGACTTTAGTTTTTTAAGATTATGTAGAGCTATTGGAGCAAGTCAGCATATGTATGTACACACTAAAATGTTTTAATTCTGTATCATTACTTGTTTAGCGATTTTTTGTATTTGAAAGTTTTAATATACTATACTTGAGCCCACATTGCTTTATGCAATTGGGCTCAATTTTTTACAAATTTACAATTTGTAAAAACAATTACAAAACTAAACACGTCTTCTCCAAGGTCAATGCGGTAACTCAAACCACCATGCTTAGCTGCTTAGTCTCCCAAAATAGCCACACTCGGGGCTCCCTTAAAGCACCCTGGCTTTTAAAAGACATTTTAAGAGCTTAAAGAGGAGTTCCCACTAGAGGGCACTCAAACCATTTTAATATGTAACCATAAAATAACACTTTAATTTAGAGACACACTTATCTATTCATAGAATTTTTTTGATGAAAAAAAGATAGGGATAGCTGCTCGTACTATATAACTTCGCAAGCAATTTTCCTGCAGTTAACCAAAATGGAGACTTGTACTTCATGTCTTTCCCTCATTTTTTGCTTTTTGCAGAAATGTCTTCCCTATATATAAAATTTAAACAATTTATCTGAATAAAAGAATACAGCTATTGCGGTGGTGGTTGCTGATTTATCCACCAACATATACTATTTAAAAAATTTTTATTTTAAGTACTAGGGTACATGTGCAAGATGTGCAGGTCTGTTATACAGATAAACATGTGCATGCTGGTTTGCTGCACCTATCAAACCATCACCTAGATATTAAGCCCAGCATGCATTAGCTATTTTTCCCAATGCTCTCTCTCCCCTCAATCCACCCCTCGACAGGCCCAGTGTGTGTTGCTCCCCTTCCTGTGTCTATGTGGTCTCATTGTTCAGCTCCCACTTGTAAGTAAGAACGTGCTCCACCAACATATACTCTTTAGTTCTAATGTAATGTAAGAAAAATTTGGTGAACTCGACCTGCTGTTAGATTTTTAAAAAATAAGAATACATTTATTAATCACCTACTATATTCTCAAGCATTATCCTGTTAAGGGCTTTTAGGTGAAATGAAAAAATTAGAAAAAATGTGTCTGCTCAATCTGCTATTATAGGTTGATGTTAAATAATAACAACAATAATAATAGGTGAGTAGCAATTCCCAATAGTTTATCAGGAAGGATATTTAGCTCAGAAAAGGCGAAAAGAACATGCATAATGAGGGGGCTGATCAGTTAAAAGAGGCAGGAGGGGCAAGCTGTGATACTTAGCTAAGATGTATAAATATATAAGAAATAACTCCTAAAGAAGAAAGAAGGGAGAATAAAGAGATAAAGAAGAAAGATGTTGGGTTTGAATTCCAGAAAATTTGTCAGAATGTTAGACTCCAGGAATATCTTGATAAATATACTAGTCCTTTGGTTCCTTAACTGGAGCTTTCAAAAAGGAATGACTGCTGTAGGAGCTGATGGCCAAAATAAGAAGTAAAAAAAAAAAAAAAAAAAATAAAAAAAAAGAAAGAATAAAATCGATTAGAATTCAGTTTTTCTAATAAAACAACTAGATATAATTCTAAATTGGATCATATGGGAATGAAACTGTATTCTCATGTGACAAATGTGATTTGCCCCCCTTAAAGGAGAGTTCTTATTTGCTTTTATTTCACTGCTGCCAGATTCAAATCCTGAATTCCAAATTTAACAAGTAAAACTGGCTGGGTGTGGAGGTTCATGCCGTAATCTCAGTACTTTGGGAAGCTGAGCTGGTAGGATTGCTCGAGGCCAGGAGATTGTGACCAGCCTGGGCAACAGAGTGAGATCCAGTCTCTATACAAAATATAAAAAATTAGCCAGGTGTGGTGGTGCACGCCTGTGTCTCAGCTACTTGGGAGGTTGACGTGGGATGATCACTTGAGCCCAGGAGTTTGAGGCTGCAGTGAGCTATGACTGGGCCTCTGCACACCAGCCTGGGCAGAAGAATGACGTTCTATCTCAAAAAAACAAAACAAAAAAACAAGAAAAACTAAGTAAAACTAAGAAACTATCAAATAGTTTTTAAAGAAAGATTTCTGCAGATCTGTTTTACTGCTTAAAGAGGTTAAGACAGAGGCTTGTGCCAAAGAACTTTGTGTGTGGGTATAAACGGTTGTAAATCATTGAATTTTTCTTGTTGATATAAAGGGCAAGTAGGTGACCTTTAGCAAGCATGTCATGAGGGTCACACAATTCTTTGCCTAGCCCCAGAGTGACTGCTCAGATACTTACTTTCTCCACATGGCAATGAATGACTGTGCTGCCACAAATCCTGTCTTCTCTCCCCCTGCAGCCCTGAACATGGGGGCTTTCCAATAGAGAGGACAGCCACAGACCTGCAAATATAAAACACATACAGTGTAAGCCAAGAGGGAATGAAGAGATGACATGGCCAAAGAAAAGGTCTTTGTAGCTTTTCCCCTTCATGCCACAGTGGATGGAAGAGCCCTTAGGAGAACAAAACTAGAGCACTGGCAAATATATCAACTAGGGTAGATTCAGAGAGAGGCAGAGGGGAAACAAAATAAGAGAACATGTTTAATGAAGAAAATGGAAATCCATTTATCTTTTCTCCAAGTTCATCTAGAGTGATTCTCTCCCCCAACCTGACAGTTAAAGTGACCAGCATCCCTTCTCACCACTTTTTTTGAGATGGAGTCTTGCTCTGTTGCCCAGGCTGGAGTACAGTGGCACAATCTCAGCTCACTGCAGCCTCTGCCTCCCAGGTTTAAGCAATTCTCCTGCCGCAGCCTCCCAAGTAGCTGGCATTACAAGTGCCCACCATCATACCCAGCAAATTTTTGTATTTTTAATAGAGACGGAATGACGATGTTGGTCACGCTGGTCCTGAACTTCTGATCTCAAATGATCTTCCTGCCTCAGCCTCCCAAAGTGCTGGGATTACAGGCATGAGCTACCACACTCAGCTTACCACTCTTATATATTTACTATCTTCTAAGAAAAAGAAATGACTGAATGTCATAGTTGTATACACACATTCATTCATTCCTTAAGCAGAAAAATACAGCCACCTTTATTACTTGGTCACTTGGTGTTACTATACTCCACTATCTATCTTCTTCTCTCTCCTTTGCCTATTCTGTTATTAAGTCCCAGGCTCAAGAAGAACCAGAAAATCCTAGACAGCTCAAGAAAACAGCTGTCATATCTATTTAAATGGTTATAATTCAGGTGAAAGGCAAATGCTAACATTTATTTCTATATTAGAAGTTACCACAAATGATTACAAAGCCTTAGGAAAGACTGGAAATGAACATAAAACAATTTTAATACCCTAAAAGGAACTGATTTTTCTTGATAAAAAGCTCTTCAATTAAAAAAACTGGAGAAAAAATTCTATAGGAAAAAGGGAGGTAAATTTAGTAAAAGGACAATTTTTTTTTAATTGAAAGGAAGAGGTCTGCAACCCCTGGGCCATGGACAGATACCAGTCCATGGCCTGTTAGGAACTGGGCCACATAGCAGGAGGGGAAGGGCAGGTGAGCGAGCATTACTACCTGAGCTCCACCCTCCTGTCCCATCAGTGGCAGCATCAGATTCTTATAGGATAGTAAATCCTATTGCGAACTGTGCACGTGAGTGGTCTAGGTTGTGCGCTTCATCTAACTAATGCCCGAGGATCTGAGGCAGAACAGGTTTCATCCTGAAACCATCCCCTATCCTACCTCCATTCATGGAAAAATTGTCTTCCACAAAACTTGTCCCTGGTGCCAAAAAGGCTGGGGACCATTGCTATAAGCAATAATACAATCCTTACTATTAGCAGAGAAATAGTCTCCAAATCATCTCAATTTCTAGATACACAGAAAACATATTCCCAAATGTGAAACTCTCCAACAAGACATATTTTGTTATAAGATAAATATATTTTTACTCACATTAGATTCAGGATCTGTTGCTCATTCTACAGAAGGAAGCCTCTCCTATGGAGGAAGACTATTTGTGCATCCACATTAGGTTTAGGTGAAGCTGCTCTTGGTGTGAGGCCTCAGTGCACAGGGAAATCCCCACAGAAGCCTGAAGACTACCTAGCCTGACATTAGTTATCCTGAAAGAATACCAGGCAGCTGGGCTCATGGAGATATGGAAGGCAAGATTCAAGCCAAGGGAGGTAAGGACAGGGCAGAAATAAGAGGCTGCTGCTGCCAGGGCCACTAAAGCATGTCTGCAAGCAGAGTATTCTACTTGCTTGCAGAAATGAAGATTTCTTAAGTCCAGAGGCTAAATAGCTCATACCTCCACTGGGGTCAAAAATGAAGGAAAGGTGTTGCTTAGCAACCATGTGATTTTTGTTTATTGTATAAATAATGATTGTCAAGGTACAAAGCTCACAATTAATATGCATTGGCTATATAAACTGTTGAATCAATCTTCCCCAATTCCAGACTCTCCTTTCATGCAGAACAGTGGTTTGCCAGGAAAATGCTCTTAGACTTAGTGATAGGCTAGTGGCAACTACTGGGAAAGAATCATCTATATCACAGAGGCAGGGGAGCCACAAACAGAAGGTGTGTGGAGACGCTGGAACTGGCTTACCAAAGTGCTTCAAACTCCCACCATTAGAGTCACTTATGAATTTTTCAGAATTGGAAGGGATCAGAAATCTTCTAACTTCCTGATTAGAAACACTTCCAGGGGCTATGTGCTTACTACCTTCTGTGGGGTAAATTCCACTAAATAAGCAACTTTCATTCTCTTAAGGTCTTTTCTCCAGAAGACTTCTGTTAAAATGCACATACATCAGCTCATAAGAAGTAGTAAGTCTCTGAAGATTAATAAACTAATTATGACCCAAAGGCAAAATCCTCAGAGACAGGGTACAGAGAAAAGATGTTTTGAAGTAGACGGAAAAGGTCAGCCTATTGTTCTCATAGTGGGGTACCCTGAGTAGCCAAGTGTCAAACAGTAGGAGGGTATCACACGCCCTTGGAAAAATGATGAAGGGGATAAAATGGGAAGGAAGAATGGTAAGGGCTATGGACATTACACTCTATCAAAAAAAGTATGGCTAGCCTGCATCTGCTTAAAAATCAAAGATTTAAGATAAAAGAGCCAGGAGATCAATAAAAATCTAAACAGTAAATGGGATTAATCTGAAGGCAAGAGAATAGTACTTTTATTAACAGAGGAGAGAACAAGCTTTTTCTTGTTGAAGTGTGAATACTGATTTTTTTGTTTTTGTTTTTTACAAAGGAAGACAGTGAATAGCAAGTGGGTATACACAGAGATACAGAAAATGGATTTAGGAAACTTATTTTTAGAGGAGGCAGCGAGAGTCAATATATGGTAATCAAAGTTGCTGCAGCAAAGAAAACTTGATTAACACTTACGGTTTGATCTAAGAATGGCCAACACCACAAATAATCCAAAGCAGGGTTGTCTAAAGGAGATATTTGTAATCTTCTTTCAACATTTTAAACTGCCTCAGGCTTGTTATTTCATTTGGTCCTCACATGATCCCCATGTAGAGGAGGGCAGTTTTTTTTTTTAAATTCCATTTTGCAGATGAAGAAATTCAGGCACAGAGAGGCTACCTTCCAGGCCACAGGCGTAATGGGTTAAGATGGTGCTATGTCAGCCAGAAAAGGGAAGCTGCAGGGCTTTGTATGATTCAGAAAAGTATCTTATTCTTTTTTTCCCCATTTATTTATTTTATTGCATTTTAGGTTTTGGGGTACATGTGAAGAGCATGCAAAATTGTTGCATAGGAACACACGTGGCAGTGTGATTTGCTGCCTTGCTCCCCATCACCTACATCTGGCATTTCTCCCCTTGCTATCTCTCCGCAGCTTCCCACCCCCCACCGTCCCTCCCCTATTTCCCCCCAACTGACCCCAGTGTGTAGTGCTCCCCTCCCTGTGTCCATGTGTTCTCATTGTTCAACACTCGCCTATGAGTGAGAACATGCAGTGTTTGATCTTCTGCTCTTCTGTCAGTTTGCTGAGAATGATGGTTTCCAGGTTCATCCATGTCCCTACAAAGGACCCAAACTCATCATTTTTGATGGCTGCATAATATTCCATGGTGTATACGTGCCACATTTTCCCTATCCAGTCTATCGTCGATGGGCATTTGGGTTGGTTCCAGGTCTTTGCTATTGTAAACAGTGCTGCTATGAACATTCGTGTGCACGTGTCCTTATAGTAGAACGATTTGTATTCCTTTGGATATATACCCAGTAATGGGATTGCTGGGCTTATTCTTTTTCCTCAACTTTCTGCTAGAAGTTAAAACTCCATGATGAATCCTTTGGCCCAGTCTCTGAAAAATGCTTTTCTTACTGTTTCTCTGTTTCTGTTCCTATGTTGATTTTGTTTTTCTGAGATTCATTATTCATTTCTTCTCTATCATTACTTAAAGCTGTGCAAAAAAGTACAAACTACACACTGAGAACTTAACGAGATGTGTGCAATAAGCTCTTCAGGGCTGCCTGAGGTCTAAGATGAACGAGCTAAACCTCACCAACAGATGCAGATTTCATGAACTGTTTGCGAGGCACTTAACAGATCCCAGTCTTTACAACAGCTACACTTGAGTGCCACTAAGAGTAGGTGGCAAACTCAAGCTGGTCTTCCAAATAACTTTATAAACTACAAGAATCCTTAAGAACACTCATTTATTGCTCTAAAGGACTCTCTGCTTCTTACTCCTTAAAGGTTGCCTCTCTTCTCCTTTTCCTATGCCAGCCTATCATAAGAATACGAACAGTTAGCGCTGGAGACACAGAGCTCACTGTCTGGTACCAAAAGAGACTTGCATGCATAGTAAAGAACTGTTGAAAATAAGGTTGACTTGGTGAGTACTAATAGACTCCAATAGCCAAGCAAAAGCTAAATTAAAAGATAATTAGGAGTAATTAAAAAGTCTCTGAGGACTGAGGAGATCATGGTGGATGGGAAGCAGGACTAGATTGCAGCTCTGACTTGGGACAGACAGAGCAGTGTGTGGAGGCTCGCAATGTGAATTTTGGCTACAGAACAACTGCAGGAATAAATCAGGAAACCTGAGAGGACCCACAGACCACCTGAAGGAAGTGGACTGCTCCTGCAGGACCTGAGAGAAACCCCAAATACTGTGCTGGTATCCATGGCTGAGAGACCCACAGAGGGTTCATATCACAGGACTCTGTGCAGAAAGCCCCCAGTACCAGCCTAGAGCCTGGCAGACTTGCTGGGTGGCTAGATCCAGAAGAGAGATAATAATCACTACAGCTTGGCTCTCAGGAAGCTACATCCACAGGAAAAGGGGGAGAGTACTACATCAAGGGAATACCCTGTGGGACAAAAAATCTGAACAACAACCTTCAGCCCTAGAC